GATATGAGTCAACAGTGTGCCCTTGTAGCCAAGAAGGCTAATGGCATATTAGGTTGCATTAAGAGGAACATTGCCAGCAGATCCAGAGAAGTGATTGTTCTCCTTTATTTAGCTCTAGTGAGGCCACATCTGGAGTATTGTGTCCAGTTCTGGGCCCCCCACTACAAAAAGGATGTGGATGCATCGGAAAGGGTCCAGCAGAGGGCAACCAAAATGATTAGGGGGCTGGAGCATATGACCTACGAGGAGAGGCTGAGGGAGTTGGGTCTGTTTAGTCTGCAGAAGCGAAGAGTGAGGGGGGATTTGATAGCAGCCTTCAACTTCCTGAAGGGAGGTTCCACATAGAATGGAGAAAGGCTGTTCACAGTAGTGACAAATGACAGAACAAGGAGCAATGGTCTCAAGTTGTGGTGGGAGAGGTCCAGGTTGGATATTAGGAAAAACTATTTCACTAGGAGAGTGGGGAAGCACTGGGATGGGTTACCTAGGGAAGTAGTGGAGTCTCCATCCCTAGAGGTGTTTAAGTCTCAGTTTGACAAAGCCCTGGCTGAGTTGATTTAGTTGGGATTAGTCCTGCCAAGAGCAGGGGGCTGGACTTGATGACCTTCTGAGGTCTCTTCCAGCTCTATGATTCTATGAAAATATAAGGAAAAAGGACAACTTAATCAATCGTTGTAAAGCTAGCGCTTGTCAAAACAGCTTTATCAGAATCTGAGGTTTATTGATATTATGTAGTTAAAATCAGGAAAAAATAGGCCAAAATCTGTTCTCAATCCCTGATGCTGCTCTAGCTTTAGAATATTCTCTTCAAATGATTCATTCTAGATTTACACCAGGATAAATGTAGGGTCTGATCCAAATTCACTGAAATTATTGGAGAGAGTCCAATGGTTTCAGGTGGCTTTGGATAGAGCACTCAGATCAGAATTTAGAGTGGTGAGGTTGCTAGGGCTACCTTACCAGGTGAGGCTTACCAGTTCTGGTTAGCTGTTAGTGGCTGGAGCACCTTCCCCCCCATCCTGGGCTGGGACCTGCTCCAGCCCCACCAGAGCCCCTCTCTGCGGCAGACCCACCGGGCTCCCTATCACAGGTTGCACACTGGCTCCCCGGGAGCAGAACCAATAGGGGTTGCTGGCCCCTACCCCCATGGAGGCTTTGCTACAAGCTCTGCAGCGTAAAGCTGATTTAAGCGTTATACTGCAGAGCCCACAGCACACGTACCGTGGAACGCTTTTTAGCGGTTACATTTGTAAAGACTTTTTACATCCCTAGTGGGGACCCTGCACAAATACATCCAGCGCTTTCTTCTGAGTCTGGTGGAAACGAGTTGTTGGTTGGTAATTTCTTGGATCTCTTCATTGGAAAACTCTTATCATCTGATGCCCAGAAATCCCAGGCACTAGCTTCCTCCCTTTCCCCACAGATGCTCAATCCCATCATGCTCCATCCACTCCTTAAAGACCCTGCCTCTTCCTGATCACTTCCACTTTCCCCCTCAAGTGCACCCTTTCCCCACTCATTACTCTGCCTCCCCAGTGCCGCCTGCACACCATGGAACAACATACCGTGGTGGGTGAAGGCACTGGGAGGAAGAGGGAGGAGCTGACTGGTGAAGCTGCCAGAGGGTACGAGACACAGGGTGCTAAGCACCCAGTAATTTTTCTCCAACCTTGAAGCACCCACAAAGTCAGTGCATAATGACAGAAGCTATCCTAGAAAACTCAATATCTTTGAAAATAAGTACTGTGGAAAGGGCCCCTATTACCCAGTCCACTGCTTGGGCCAGCCTCTATCCTCCTTCCCTGGGGTCAGAGCTTGCAGCTGGTTTCTGGGGTAGGGAGCCCAGCCATTCCTCCTGGGACTCCCTCCCCTGCGGTTTCTGCTCTAGAACTGTACTGGTTTACTGCCAGTCTCAGTCTCTCTCCCTCCTTCCTCACTCCACTTCCAACTGGGGAGGCTTTTAAAGGCCACCAGCAATGGAGTCACCTGGCCCCAGTCTGCCTGAGCCAGCTCCCTTTCGGCTGCTTCTAATTGTCCTGCCAGCCTCTGCTTCTATTTAGCAGGTCTTTTGCCCTTTTTGGGCTGTCTTTCTTCCACTCTGCAGCAGCCCTTGGGCCTGACCCTGCCAAAGTACCTAATATTTCAATAGATCTCTGGTGCTTGCAGCCATATATTTTAGCACCATTGGAAATTCTCAGGTTTTGTTTCGGCACTGCATCTCTTTGATTTCTATGCCTTGTTACGTTTAGTGAAAGCTGTGGAGGCATGTCCTATCCTTGACATCACTTCTTTCTTGAGCTCTCTGCTGCACTTGGGGCCAAGTTAACCCTAACACCAGGGAAGCACAAAGGTGACATAGCTATTTCTTGCCCTTCCATTTAGGTTCTGTGTTGAAAAGACTTTGGTTAAACCTAGGGTGACCATCCATCCCCTTTTCAGTGGGACAGTCCCGTATTTAAGCCCTCTTGCAGCTGTCCAGGAGGCAGGATCAGCGTGCTGGTGGGGGTCTGGCCAGGGAGTTGGTGGGGGGTCTGGCCAGGGGGCAGGATGCTGGTGGGGATCCGGCCAGGGAGAAGGAGCAGGGTCCTGGTGGTTGTCTGGCCTTGGGCCAAGGGCCAGGATGCTAGTGGGGGTCTGGCCAGGGAGAGGGGGCAGGGTGTTGATGGGGGGGAGGGGGTCTGGTCAGGCAAGAGGGGGCAGGAGCAGCTTGGCTGGTACCTAGGGGTCTCCAGGGATGAGGATCTCTGGAGCAGGATATGCAGGCAGAACTGGACGAAGTGCATGTGCAGCTCCTTTAAGAAATCCAGCCACTCTGGATCCTGTGTCACCATCTTAACTACCCCCTCCCCACCACCTTCCCGGAGCATGGGGAAGGAAGGGAAGACAAGAAAGCTCACGCACTGTTGTGGGCGGGGGAGGGGGGTGCACACTTTCTTGACTTCCCTTCCTTTTCTGGGTTGCCTTCCTTCCTGTGGGGGGGTGGGGGGGGAAGGGGGAGGAAGTCTGAGATTCCGTGTCAGATCCAGATCCAGATCCAGATCTGGTGCAGAGCCGCAAGACTTCCACCCCATGCCACAGAAAGCCAGAGCTAGCTCTATTTTTGTGGGAGTCTGTAGCGCCAGCACGGGCTCCTTGTTGGGTGGGAGGGAACAAGGGAGGCTGGGAATACTGCCTCACCGTCGACTGGCAGTGCTCCCGCGATTGTTCAGTCGATCGCAATCGACTGGTTGGTGACCACGGTTCTATATGAAGACACATAAGAAAAAACAGGAATACAAAAATCTCCTATGCAGAGATAAACATCTAATTTAAAGGTTAAACTCACCCTCAGACCAAGCAAAATCCCTTTACAGTAACAGAATTAATTACGACTTTCAAAACCTCTAAACTATGCAAAGACTGTAAACAGCATTTCATAACCAATCACAGAAGCTAGTCCAGTCTCCTGTCACACACAGAAACTCAGACATGACCAAAAAATTAGCAAAGGCCTGAGGTCACACAATGATTTAAATCAATTTTTTGCAGGTATATAGAGCTTCCCTTGTTGTCTCTGCAAGGTGTATAATAAATGGAAATGACCTAGTAGAAAAATGTCAAAATCTGAGGCCCTCCTGAGGCCCGGGCCAAATGGCCCTCCTGGCCCCAACTCTGATGAGGCCTGCCCAGGGTGGGCCACAGCAGTGTGGCCAAGGGCTACGGGGATGGGTTTGGCATAGGGGGGCACTTACCTGGGGCAATGACCAACAAGATGGTAAGCCCTGGCACCATCTGGCCCCTGTCTTGCTCATGCAGTTGCTGCTACTGGTCACTTGCAGTATAGCTCCTCTGTCAGCTCCTGGCCTTTCCATCAGAGGTATAGTGAGGGTGTTATGTACCCGGGGCCAAAGGCAAAATTTGCATCCTCCCCCCCCACCCGTGCAGCGGGGTCCCAAACCTGGCACATGGCTGAGCCCGACCCTGGGAAGAGCCAGGGGAGCTTGGACCATGTCTTCTCCCACCCCCAGGCCAGGCCCCCACATGCACTAACTCACCAGTGGAGATGCAGGAGGATCAGGCTGGGGGTAGAGAGGCGGGGAGGAGGAGCAAGCGAGTCGAGGAATGACAGGGGAAGTGGAGAGGGACTAAATTGGTGCCCCCCCAATGTGGCACCTGGGGGCAACTACCCCTCTCCACCCCCCTCATCACGTCACTGCTTTCCATGTTATGGAAAACAATAGAAGTCCAGGCACATCCAAACCCTGACCTGGCTTTATATTTGGATAAGAGGAAGTTGCATGCGATATTTGGTGGTCCTAGATCTTACCATTTAGGAGGAGTTTTGGGGCAAATGGAGTCAGACAGAGAGACAGACAGATGCGTATTTCTAAAATAAATAGTAAGATAATAATGCAGTGTGTCTTTTAAAGGAGGCTCAGTCACCTTACTGCTATTTTGAAGACTCGTTTTGATTGCTGTTGTAATCACCTAAATCAGAGCAATTTTACCAAATTTGGCATAGGGAAATATGGTAATCCTAGTTAAACCCATGGGTCAAGGCCATGTTTTTATTACTGATTAGGATCTTACGTTTACATTGAAATATGTCTTTAAAGCTTTTAAGATCACCTTTAAGCATGGTTCAAACAAAGGAGAGAGAATATCTGTGCATGTGCACACACACATGTACATGTACACAGGAACACAGAAGAAATTCCATTGCTGATATGCAAGATAAAAGCAAGGTGACAATATCACACCTCATTAATATAATTTGGAGTTTCCAGTGAAGACTCCAATTTCATCATTTTCAATGCTGTGAATCACAGAAATAAGAGCTGAAAAGGCCTGTAGTTCATTCACTCCATCTCTCTGCCAGCGCAGGATCTTATCTACAAAATATGCTCCCCTCTTTGCCAGCTCATTTTTAAATGAATCAAGCCTCTCACCACTCTGAAGAGATGGTTTCACAATCGAAAACTGTTCAGAAATTTTACAGGCTGTGTGCAGAGGTAACTTACTGCAGCCATGGAGTTGATGCGGTCAATGTAGTAATCCGGCCAGCTGGTAGCAAGTTTATTAGGGTCCTCTTGTTCCTGTAATAGAAAATTAAACTTAGGGTTTACATTATATGAGCAGGCTTAAAGGATAAATAGTTTTCATTTGGTTAAAATCTGGGATTTTTGACTGTCTTACCTTCCTCCCATTCCTTTATGGGAATCTTTATGGAATTTGTTACAAATGATATCAAAGGTATAATGCTAAAGCTATCTTTGTGATGGCAGAGAAGGAAAGATCACCTTTCAAGTAAGATTATTGAAAACAACACTGCTGAACTGAGCAAAGGTTGTCCTTTAGTGACTGAATGACAAAATTCCCCTCTTTACAGTATGCTGACAAAGATTGTGCTGAAAGGACAGGGCCTTCAGGGATAACAAACTTATATTTTCAAGTTTTACATTTTACAGATTTTAGAAAATATTTGGTGTTAAGTCTGCTAATTGGATGGGCGAGATTCACCAACATGCATTACAGGAAAAAATGCCAAGCCAAGGTTAAAATGATTTCTTCAGAGGGAGTTAAGTACAACCTCAATGAGTCCAGATGAACAGAAGTGTAACCTGTGAATTACAGTGAAAGCTGCATCAAAAAGACCAACACCAAGAGTGGTCTTAATCACTTTAATATATCTTCATACATTTTGCAGTGCAACTAAATTCATCTTTCAGTTGAAGGTTTACCTCAGCTGGGCAACTGCTTTTAGCTTGTTTTTTGGATGACCACTTGAGAGGTTTCCCCACTTCAGATTTTATTTTACTTTACTTTGAGAAAAGGAGAGACAGATAGAACAGAAACCAGTAAGAAAATAAAAATGGGGTTCTAGAGCCCAAATCTCCCACCACAGGACAGAAATAGCTTACGTTAAAATCAACTGAATTCTATCTTGTGGTAGAAGAACCAAGTCCTTTACAGTTGTACTAAAGATAGTTGAATGGAGTTTAGCGAGACAGACAGAAAGATAATCATCCTAACATTCTACTGTCCTGCAAATATCAACAATTATTCACATCAACAGACTTAGCTCATAAAAGTTATACAGATGAACATTAAATAGCCAGATCTTTATCAGAGCACATCAACTCTTTTGGTAGTGCTACATACTTATGTCATTTGGGGTATGTCTAGACTACAGGCTTTTGTCGACAGAAGTTTTGTCGACAGTATCAGTCGACAAAACTTCTGTCGACAAAGAGCGTCTAGACACATTCAGTTCTGTTGACAAAGCAAGCTGCTTTGTCGACAAAACTCTGTAGTCTAGACACACCCTTGGAGAGAAGAAATATGTCTACACTTTCCCAAACTGACCTGCCTTCTTAATACTCGTCAAGCTCATTTTAGGTTAAATTTAAATTATAGTATGTTTTCCGTGGATTTGTTACAATATGTAAGGTTTCAAATTTGGAATTCATAGCAATAGCAAGGGATAAAAAACTTAGATATTCCTGTTTCAAGACCACAGGTGCCAATCACTTGAACTAACGGAAAGTCTCAATTAGCTATTAGCAGTACACAGTCAATGACATAATAGAGCAGTTCTGCTTCTAAGCAGTAGAAGGCAAAGGTACATACACCTGCCAAGTCAGTTCATTACAGTACCAACTTTGGAGTTATACATAAAGCATAAGGGACTGTCAAAAGTGGCAAGAGGCATCAAATGTATTCCCTGACCCCACAATTTATCACATATACCATCTGCCCATCGGTGTGCTATGTTTGGAAATTCATGCCACACGTGCACACTTTTCCAGTGCATAGTAGAAAAGCCTCCATTTTTCTTCTCTCTGTTTCTCTGATGAAAGCAATGGTCTGATAGAGCTAAATCGTTGCTTACCAACAGATCACCACAAGTAACCAACTGGATTTCTACACCTCATTTCACAGCAGACTGCCTCTTAACATCTACTCTCTACTAGATGTGGTCAGACAACTGTTCTGCTCACAGGAGACCTTAACCTCCTTTCCAAGAGTCAAAATATGACCTTGCTGAAGGAAAAAACACCACCAAAACATGCAGTTGATAAAGACAGCCTTATTTTTAGAAAATAATCTTATCATGACCTGAGTAGCACAGGAGAGACAGAGAGCTAATCTAATGCTAGTTAAAGAAAGGCCATTGCACAGGGCATCATGACACATACAGCAATCTATTTGCAAGGGGACATCAGGCCAAGACACTGATTTGCAGTATAAGTTTTGATTTGTCTTCCTGGAATTTTCCTGTGTGAAGGAGCTTGAAAGAGCAAGTGACCGATGCTACAGTTGTTTCCTATTAAAACGGAAGTGAGAGATGCTATGTATATTGTTCCTCGTGTCCTACTCAATGAACCCCAGGGTAGGAAAGAGGAAATGTATTTATATAAAGAGACAACTACCCAGATCCATTCTCCAAATCTCAAGAACAGTCTCGATGAAAAATTGTCCAAGATGCTTAAAAAAGCAGAAGTATTAAAACACGGTGAGAAATCCTGCTCTTGCTAGATTTACAGCCTAGACATATAGGCTAAAAAGCATTTAAGACAGAAGCATTTGAAAACTTGAGTAGGTCCCTGTCTGAGCCCTTGAAGCTTTCAAGGTTTGACCAGTTGTATGAAGGACCAGGAACTCAGACCTTCCTAGATAGGATTTTTTATTTTTGGTTGGCTGAGCAGATGAAGATAGTTACCTCTGTAATTTACCTCCTGTCCCACTACTTTATACCCTTTATATCCATCATCTATGGTGGTCCTAACCTAAGACCAAAGGTTTATGTCTCCTCTATGACTATCATGCTACTTTTGAGCTAGAGCTGGGGGGAACTGGTTTGGATGGAATAAACATTGATCTGGAATTCAAAAGTTTCATTTTCTTTTTCTGTGTGTGAAACTGCTGTAAGAAGGGTCTGAATCAATGCTTCCATTACAGCTATCTAGAATGAGAGAGAAATCCTGGGTGTGGTTATGTAAAGACAGTTCACTCAAGTTTGCTTAGGCCTGCTAGATATTCAATTGTTAGAATGGTGTTTTGCCCATTGTAACCAAATTTGGCTGTTGTGGGGGGTCATAAAATGCGTTAACCCTAAATGCAGGAATTGTAAGATATGACCACCAATGCTTGCAGTTATTGGGAATGCAAAAAAAGTCTAACTCCATTCAAAGAGGAGAAACTGGAAACTTTCAGTGTAAAGAAACTTGGATGGACAGAGGCTCAACTTCCAGAGCCCTAAAAATTAGGCTGGGGAGGCAAGAGAATCAGCAAGCTGCATGTCCTCCAGGCGTGAGCTGTAAGACCGGTTTGACCTGTTTCTCCCCACTCTTTCAATTATAGAGTTAAAGAAAGGCTCCATAAGGAGTCTCTATGGTATGTAACTGTACTCCAGTGGCTGCTGGAAGCTCTTGTGGCTGGAAGGTTCTCCAGTCCCACCTTCACACAACAGGTGGATGGCGAGTGACCAGCAGAGTAAGATGCCTCCCACCTCTCTCTCAAGTAACTGTGAGGGGGTGCAGAGAAGGGGAGATTTACATTGGTGGACTTGAGAGCCTGAGAGGACAAGGACACTATCCAACCCACTTGACCTGGGACATTTACTCATGGTTTTGGTTATGAACTATGTTTGTGGTGTTTTCTCAAATTCATGCCATGATACTCTCCCCCCCCCCCTTTATTAAAGGTTTCTATTCTACACTCAGACTCCGTGCTGGCAAGTGGGGAAGCGTTGCCTCCCAGAGGTGCCCAGAGGGTTGTGTGAATTTCCCAGGACACTGGGTGGGGGCTCAGGTCAGTTCTCTGTTGGATGGATGGAGAGGAACTCCTAGATATTGAACCTGGCTCTGGCTGCTGCTGGTGCTACCTGGAAGAAAGGTTACATTGCATTTTCTGGTTCTGACCAGAAACAGAAGATCCAAAATGCCATAACGAAAGTTGTTCTGTTTACGGGCCTAATCTCAAAAGCATTCCTCAGTCCTTATTCAAACAAAATTGTTATTGAAATAAAAAATTGTCTTGCTTGGAAAAGGTAAAAAAAAAAAAAAAAAAAGTCAGAGAATCAGAGGACTTGAAGAGAGCTCAGCCCCATGCCCAAGCCAGGACCAATCCCAATTAAATCAAACCAGCCAGGCTTTGTCAAGCTGAGACTTAAAAAAAGTCCACTTTTGTCGACAAAACTTGGTAGTCTAGACACACCATCAGTCTCTCCTCATAGGTCATGCGCTCCAGCCCCCTAATCATTTTGGTTGCCCTCCGCTGGACCCTCTACAATGCAACCACATCCTTTCTGTAGTGGGGGGACCCAGAATTGGATGCAATTCTCCAGATGTGGCCTCACCAGTGCCGAATAAAGGGGAATAATCATTTCTCTGGATCTGCTGACAATGCTCCTCCTAATGCATCCTAATTTGCCATTAGCCCTCTTGGCTATGAGGGCACACTGTTGACTCATACCCATCTTCTCATCCACTGTAATCCCCAGGTCCTTTTCTGCAAAACTGCTGCTTAGCCAGTCGGTCCCCGGGCTGTAACAATGCTTGGGATTCTTCTGTCCCAAGTGTAGGACTCTACACTTGTCCTTGTTGAAACTCATCAGATTTCTTCTGGCCCAATTCTCTAATCTATCCAGGTCACTCTGGACCCTATCTCTGCCCTCCAGTGTATCTACCTCTCCCTCTAGTTTAATGTAATCTGCAAACTTGCTGAGGGTGCAATCCACCCCCTCATCCAGGTCATTAATAAAGATGTTGACAAAACTGGTCCTAGAACAGATCCTTGGGGCACTTTGCTAGAAACCGACCACCAATCTGACATCAAGCTGTTGATCACTACTCATTGGGCCCGACAGTCTAGCCAGCTTTCAATCCATCTTACAGTCCATTCATCCAATCCATAGTCCCTTAACTTGCTGGCAAGAATATTGTGGGAGATCATATCAACAGCTTTGCTAAAGTCAAAGTATAATTATATCCACTGACTGTCCCATATCCACAGAGTGTGTTATCTCATCATAGAAGCTAATCAGATTGGTCAGGTATGACTTGCCCTTGGTGAATCCATGTTGACTATTCCT